AGTCGCTGTGCCGTCAGACGGAAATGCTTAATGAGTCGCGCACACAGATCAACACATTGCAGGAGCTCCTCCTGCGCGACACAAAGCAGGCGGCCGAGGTGTCCACCTCGGAGCGGGAGAAGAAGCTCCTTGATCTGATACAGACGTCGCAGGAGGAACGCGAGACTTTGCTGCTCAAGCAGGAGGAGCTAAACGCGGAGCTGTCCGAGCTGCGGCAATCGCGCGACGCCGTGCAGCTGGAGCAGCAGCGACAGCGTGAACGCAACGCGCTTCTCGATTCACAGCTGGATGCGGCCAATGCGGAACGCAAGCAGAGCGAAGCGCAACTCTCGTTGGCCAATGAGGAGATCTCACAGCGTGCCATTGAGATAAGCAGGCTGAGCACATTGTTGGAAAATGCGCGCTCTAAGATCGAAGAGCTGGAAGCGGATCTGGCGCGTGGGGATAAGACTGATCTTAGCGATGTGCTCGATGCGGCACGCCGGGAGAAAGATACGCTTGAGGAGCGTCTGGCCGAGCTACAGGATCAGTGGTCGCGCAGCCAGGCGGAGTTGCGTCGATTGCGCGAGCAAGTGGCTGGTCTCAGCGAGGAATGCAAGGTAGCCAAAAATAATGCCAAGTGCGCTGTCTCACATCTCGAGTATCGGCTGGAGCAGCTGCAATGCGAAAAGGATAAACTGGCCGGCGATTGCCAGACACTGGAGGAGCGTGTCGCCGAGCTGCAGGTGCAGTGCAAATGCCATCAGGAGGACAAGGCACAGCTCCAGGAGCTGCTAAGCGAAACGCAGCGACATTTGGGCGATGTGCAGCTGCAGCTTAGCGATAGCGAATCCCGCCTAGAAAAGGAGACACAGCTGCGCAAACGCGACGCTGACGAATGGCAACAATTTCAGGCGGATCTCCTAATGACAGTGCGTGTTGCCAACGATTTCAAGACTGAGGCGCTCAGCGCACGCGAGCAGCTGGTGCTCGATAACAAGACGCAAAAGGAAAAGATCCGGCTACTCGAACAGCAGCTGGAAAAGTTAACCAAGCAACGTAAGTAACCAAAACAAACAACTGTTTCGCAAGGAAATTCGATGTACCTACTATCGCACTTCCTTACAGAAATGCAGCAGACGGAGACGCAGCAATCGGTGCTGTCCAGTGTGCAGCAGGAGATGGCCTCACGGCGCAGTAAACTCAGCTTTAGTCGGCAGGATTCGCGTCTCTCTGTCAAAACGCTGATCGAGAGCATCGAGAACAACAAACAGGTGAGTGAGTCAATGTCTTTCACAAACTGCGCCAACTAATCTCTTCCGTTCCATACTACAGCAGGGCAAGTCGGACGAGACCGAATCGCATTATAGCTCAACGTCCAGCTTGAATAGCGGCACGCCCGAAACTGGCAACACGCCCATTATACTGCCCGTAACCAGCGACTGGCACGACAGCGTATGTATTTTTAAATACCATAATGTGTGCTCCTAATTAAATAACAATTTTTATTTTATTCATCCGTACAGCTGCGCTTGCCCGTGCTGCAGAGCAGCAATCTACATGTGAATGTTAATGCAGCAACAGCAGCAGCTGCAACACCCACAACAACAGCAGCTAACACTACCAAAGCAACACAGCAGCAGCAGCAGCAGCAGCCGCCGCCGCCGCAACTGCAGCAGCAATTGTCGCAACAGTCAATGACAAGTGCGACATCATCCTCGCAGCCCTCCACACCAAACACGCCCAGCAGCTTGCAACAGCAGCCGCCCAGTCTGACAACGCCAGTGCAGACGCCCACCAGCGCGCTCGTGAGCAGCCTTAGTTTTGGCAACGTCTCAAAATCCTTCATCAGCGGTAGGTAGTCGCATCCAGCTGGCCCATATCTATGGATAGTTTATTCGATTTATTATTAATGTAATATTTATGGCCTGTTGCAGGTGAGCGCAAGGATCCGCTCAATATGCTGGCCAAAAACGGTGGCTCAAAGCGAAATGCGCTGCTCAAGTGGTGCCAGAATAAAACCGTTGGCTATCGCAACATTGACATCACGAACTTCAGCTCGTCGTGGAACGATGGGCTCGCATTCTGCGCCATACTACATTCCTATCTGCCGGATCGCATACCCTACGACACACTCAGTCCGACCAACAAGCGGCGCAACTTTTCGCTAGCCTTTGCCGCCGCCGAGTCGGTGGGCATTGGCACCACTCTGGTGGGTACACTCGGTTCTGTCATTCGCTATAAATTTCCTAATTAATCGGTCTTAATGTATCATCGCGCAGAACATCAATGACATGTGTCAAATTGAGCGACCTGACTGGACGCAGGTCATGTCTTATGTAACTGCTATCTACAAGTACTTCGAGACGTAAGGCGACATCGAACTGAATCTGGAGCGGATGTGCACACACCTTTTGTATATGTATTTTCTCACTCTTTCGTAATTTGGGGGCAACTATTTATTTACCACAAGTATCCACGCATTTGGCGCCCAGGCCCAGCAATTATTTTGTCGCGAATTCTAGCCTAAACAAAGCAGATTCTTGACCATAGTGTGTACTATGCTTATCTTTTATTTTCTTGAACCTTTTTTTTTTTTTCGTGCAACTTTTTGTTTACTCATAATATAGTTATTAGTATGTATTGTCAGGTTTATACGTTTGCGCTGCAGTTGAGGCAAATTTAAATAATTATTGTCAAATCGCCGATTTCAGAGTTTATTTTATATACATACGCATACGCATATACATATATATACGAGCATAGGAAACCTAGAGAAATCGAATGGCCGATTAGCTTTAGTATATTTATTATAAAACAAGAATATTATTTTAAACTCTACGAACATTAAACTGTAATTATTTAAATAGACTTTTTTTCTTTGTGAAGTGAATAGTTTTTTTTTGCCCATATCCCCCCACGGAATATATATGTATGTACGTATGTACGTATGTATGTATATTCCCGTCACAGTTTTAAAGCCACAGTTAAAGGGTTATTAATCACATGCTCAGTGACTGAGTATCTATTACTGGGTATCTCACAGTCAGTTGCACTCAACTGCAGTGTTTGTTTCGATCTTCAGTGCAAAAAATACCATCGTAAGCAAAATAAATGGAAACTTCGAAAACTACATGTTTGAAAATGATTATATATTTAGTTAATATAATCACTTGTCGCTTATTTTCTATAGTTCTCTCATTGGATTGAGAACTGCCCGCTCTTCATCATTGAAACATCCACTTTTTATCCCAATCCGCAATTCGCCCTTCCGTTCTGCAGCGCGCCAACATATTTCGGCGTATGAAGCTTAACGATAACATGCTTCCGGGAGTTAATAGTGATGGAGAAGTGCTGTCCTTCGGCCTCCATTATGAATCTGTGTCGCCGCCCGCTGCACGGAATGCGGGCCTGTATAGTTTCCAGGACCTCCCGTGGAAGTCGCCTGTCCAGCACATGGAGTGTCCATTCCGATGGTGCAAGAATTCATTTCTCCTGAACTGCGCTTTTGGCGACCCCATTGACCGGGTGGACTGTCGAGGCTGTCATCCCAGGTGGAGTTACCTGCATGGACGAGGAAATCTTCTGGTCCGACTCTAACAATGGCCCCACGACGCCAGCTGGCGTTTGATCATTCTGCTTCGACAGATCTCTACGAAGAGCTGATAGGGACGTCGGCTGCGCTGGAATCACGGACGTTAGAGGGCCGAGCCACGCCTTCATTTTGTCTTCTGTCCCACACAGTAAGTCCATGCCAAGGACGACATCATACAAAACGGTGGGCAGCACCAACATCAGCATCATCACTTGCTGTGGCTCCAGGCAAGAGTCTACCTTTCTGGACCCTTCAGCAAGGCATATTTGTGTGGCCACCGCTTGCCGCCTCTGAGCTTAGCATGCTGATGCGAGATGCTCCCGTATCGATTCTGACCCAGAGAACGATGCAGCTGAAACGATTTCGCTTCTTGGATCATTTGATTACTCATATTGGTTAATGCTCTTGTGCGCAGCAGAAAGTTCTTTGCGACTTGTCTTTGCCTCCCTCGTCGCTCAGTATAATGCCACCGGCAAAATACATGCACATACATACACATATGTATGTATACACAAATGCATACATACATACATATATATATGCCTTTGCTAATAGCATTACTTGTTCTTGCCTGCCATTGGTTCATTATTTCTCACTTACAAGTTTTAATTCCTACAACTGCCGTTAGGTTGCAGCTGCGCGATTTTGATTTGGTATTTTCCTGTTTGAAGTACCGTTAGGTCGCAGTCGTGCTTTTTCGTTCCGAGGAACCGTTCGTCTCTCGGCAGAAGCGCCTTTGTATCGCCGTGTGTCTTCCAATGATTTACCGCTATTGTCGAATATGCTGGACATGGCATACATACACATGTATGTATGTATGTATATTCAAAAATAGCAGTCCTATTATGACAAGGCTTATTTGTGCACATGTACACATACATACATATATGTATGTATGTAATTTAATGGCTACTTAAGCTATTGTACATATCAATATTTTCCGGTCATGTCTTTTTCTAAATAACTGCCGGGACAAATTTCAAAAATTCTTCATCGGAAATCTATTCATTTTTAATTTAATTAATTTTGATGTATTAAATTATGTACATTAATGGACATTAATGGATATAATACATTTTTGTTGACTTGTAAAAAATTGTAAAAAAGAGAGACGCAGAAACATTTTTGAGCAAAATTTGATTGGATAACAAACTGTATCCCGTCTTGTCGTATTTTAACATTTTTGCCCCTTTTTTTATTTTTTTAGTTCGATCTGTGTTTTTTTGCGCGATATTATTTTTTATCACTGATACAAATTTGTGCGCCTCCATAATTGAACGAGAGTACTTAACGAAATACCAACAGCATTTCCACACCCAACGAAATGTTATTAAAAGCTACATTGAGGAGTCATTACTCAAGTGAGGAGTAGTTCTGTAATAATTTCAACTGTTATCTTCGATAAGTTCCATCGATAGTCTGCAGTTCTAGTAAGAATATCCAAATTCTTTAATAAACTTTGAAACACGGCAATAGCAATGATCAAATTAAACAAACAATAACAACTAAAGAGTGCTGCAATGGAAACGACGGAAGACCAGCTAATACTGGCCACTGGTGGATATGACCACACCATCAAAGTGTGGCAGGCGCACACCGGCAACTGCATCAAAACCATGCGCTTTGTTGAGACATCGGTAAGTGAAGCGGAGACTAAGTGAATGCACTATTTATATGTAATTGATATTTATTGTAAATAGCAAGTAAATGCGTTGGACCGCACGCCGGACAAAACTCGCTTAGCCGCGTGCGGATATCAGTGCATACGACTGTATGATTTGGAGTCCAATTGCACGGCGCCGGTCATTAACTTTGATGGTGTACAAAAGAATGTGACACGGCTGGGCTTTCAGGAGGATGGCAATTGGATGTTCACTGCCGGCGAGGATCACCGTGTGCGCATCTGGGACATGATGTCAGCTCCGCCACACTGTTCACGTGTATTCGATTGCCAGGCGCCGGTGAATGCTGCTTGCCTGCATCCGAATCAAGTGGAAATTGCGATGGGCTCGCAAAATGGCGGCGTTTACCTCTGGGACGTTAAGTCGGAAGTGCACGAGCAGCTTGTGCCCGAGGTGGATGCATCCATACAAGATGTGGCCATTTCTCCAGATGGTCACTACATGGCTGCGGCCAACAATAAGGGCAACTGCTACATTTGGCAACTGAGCAGCAGTCCTAGCCAGCATCTGAGCACAATGAGTCCCAAAAAGAAAATCCAGGCCCATAGTCGTTCCATACTGCGTTGCAAGTTTAGTCCCGACTCGCGTCTACTGGTAACCACCTCGGGCGATGGCACTGCCTGCATTTGGAAAACGGAGGACTTTACCAAGTGGCGTGAGCTCTCTATTAAAAATTACTGGGTCTGGGATGCTGCATTCAGCGCCGATTCCAAATGGCTGTTCACAGCCTCGTCCGATGGCATTGCACGCCTTTGGAAGTTGCACACCAAAAACTGCGTGCGCGACTACACGGGCCATACAAAGGCAATTACGGCTCTGTCCTTCAAGGACGAGATTGTAGCCGACTAACGTAAGCATAGCCTTAGCTCTAGCTGTAAACTTAGACAAATAGGTAACAAAAAAAAAAAAAAGAAAACAGTCATTTGCATTATCCACTCTGGCTGATAGGCCTGAAGCAGATTCCATCTTAATAAGCTTCAGGCTAACCAAATTCTAAATGCCCTTGTCAATAACTCGAGCAAAATACGATAAGAATTTCATTTCAGCCCGTGCGGATTATGAAAATATAACAGTTGGGATACTGAAGCACACGCTTGGCAATTTTTTGGAGGCAGTCGGGTCCCAGGCAACATGGATTTGGGAGAAATACTGAACTGAGTTGAGTTCTACCTCTGAAAATGCGCTTTTGCTTTTGTAGCGACATTTTTCATACATTTTTTATAAAATATACTGCTAATATATATATATGTATATGCACATATATATATATAGAAATATATATGTATAAGGGAATGCAATTTAATAAAAATCCCTATAGGCATACAATCAATGTAAGTACACATAAATACACAGTAATAATAATAATTTGGAAAGAGCTCAATAATTCAGTGCGACAAAGAAATCAATAGTGACTAGCCCGTTTTTTTTTTTCATAAAAGAAAACAAGGCGGCACGAAGAATAAAAAACGCGACGATCTTAGTCCACATAGTCGATGCCCTTTGCTACAATTGACTCTTTGATGGGATCTGGATCATCGCCCAGCCTGTAGCCCACAATGCATGTAACATCCACCGACTTGCCTGTGGGATTCAGCAGCAGCATCACTTGATTAATAGGCGGTGCTGGCCGGAACGGCTTGTGCGCCGCCATTGCGTTGCTCGTGGGTGGCAAAAGGAGCACCTTGCAGGGCTGCGAGCAGAGAATGGAATGAGACATGTATGTGTTCGTTAAGCTGCCAATGCGATGGATGAACTACCCACCTTTTTAACGCTCGCCTCGAACTGGAAGTCTTTGACTGGCTGGCGGCTTTTATTTTGGGCCGATATCACAATTACTGATACATTGCGACTGGGCCGCTCATCTGTAAAGTTTAGGCATAGAAGCATATCGTCATCGTCCAGCATAACACGCTCCTCGCCCGTGGCCTGAATATTATCCAGATCGATGCTGATCTCGCTAAGATGCTTGATTTCTTTTGTGGCAGCTGGAGGTGCCCCCTCAATCTTCTCCTCTTCCTTTGCAGGCTGCGTTACCTGCACCGGCACCGACTGTGCTGGCGTAGCGCTCAACAACGGCACATCATCCAATGCGTCCGCAGCTGATTGCTTTGCGGGCTTCACTTGCATGCGTTCGCGAGCCAAATCGTTGAGCGTCAATTTCTCGGGATAACGCTTAAAGCTGCCCATACGCTCCTGTTCTGGCAGTATCTGCTGGAACAGTTCCTCACTTAGCATATCAATTTCGGGCATTTTGCGTGCAACGCTGGGCTTCTTGGTATCATCTGCAGCGGCACTGCCATTGGCCAGGCCATCACCGGCAGCGCCGTTGCTTTCGTTTTCCAAAAGGCTGAGCACCTGTGGCTCCAGCAGCTCACCGCTGCCAGCATGCTGAAAAGGCGTCGCGCTTTGCTGTTGCTTGTCTTTGCTCTCGGTCAGAGCGCTGCTAAAGATGTCGCTTAGATCCGTCAAAGTATTGGGCATTGAGCTATTGGATGCAATGGTTGGCGTGGCCCGGGCTTCGCCATCGCCAAGCAGCAAATCCCCGAGCAGATCGTTGAGCAGTGCCGCATTGCTGGAGCCGCTGGCAACAGCTGATTTAGTTGTGGCCGTTGCTGCAGCTGTGCCTATGGATTGAATAGCTGGTGTAGTGCTTTTTTTAGGCGAGGGCACCAGTTGCCTATAGCGCGCCATAACTGCCACCAGAGCGCCATTTGTATCCAGCGTCTTTTCTGCGAAGAACATGGGTAAATTATAAATATATAACATCATGATGGGGAGCTTAACTAACCTATTAGCTGAGCATCTGAGTCGCCCAACAGCTCGGGCAGATGCTGGAAGATGGGTTTATGCTTCTTGCAGCTCTTGTAGAGCTCGCGTATGGTCTCATTGACATCATCATCGCTGGGATTATAGCTGTCTAGCATTTCGTTGAGCAGCTGCATGGTCTCTTGCACCTCCAGCAGTACGAGGCGATGCTGGGCGAGCAAATCATTGCGTCGCGCCTCCTGGGCCATGCGATATTGGAGCAATAGATTGGCGCGCTTAAAGTTCTCCGGATCCTGACTTTTGATCAGTTTGGCGAACATGGCCTCGTCCATGGTATTGAGCACGCTCTCCCGCTTGGCCAGCGCAGCGGCTGTTTGGCTGTGATCGATGTCGCCCTCTTTGCGCAGCATCTCGTAGGCATCCCGTATCTTTTGGCGCTGCGGAAACTCGGTGGTCCACAGCAGCAGGCATTCCATTATGCGCTGCTTCACCACAAGCGGAGTTATGGCACCATCATATTTCTTTGACACCAATCTTATCAGCTCGTTGAGAAAACGAAACTTGGCTGCCTCATCCTGGAACACGTCGCCGCATTGTGTCATGCATTCCTCCAGCAACTGCAACAACAGTTTTTATGACAAAGAATAATTGAATGAGTTAAATGGCATTGTGCGTGTGTGTATGTGGTTGAGAGGGTGTGTGTGTGTGTAGCGGTCACACCTACCGCAATTGCTCGAATCGCTTCGTTCACATTGGTCGAACGAACTTTGGTTACAATCATCTCCTGCGCCTTGTGCACCAATTGGGTGTTGCTGCGTACCACAATGCAAAACATTTGGACGCCTAGTTCGTCGACTCGTTCCTTTGTCGGATTCGTTGCACGATCTGCGTTAGCGGTGCAAAAGGGGTATTTACAACTAAAGAAAAATTCGAAACAGCTGAAGCTTCCGTGAAACTCACCCAGCATTTCTGTCATTATACTCTCGTCGGTTGTCATCTTTACATTAAATGCCGTTAAATGGATGAATTTTAAATACCAGTGGAAAATTAAGGAACGTACGTTTTCCGGCGATTTTAAACAACAATCATATTGTTGTTCTTGCTATTATTGTTAGAGCTGTGCATTAGTCTATTAATTTATCGATAGCAAAAGTATTTTTTGGCTTTTTAGTTTGCTGTTAATATTGCAATAAATTACTGGCGTATGGATAGGCATAACACTGCCATGCAAATGAAGTAAGGATAGCTCTTTGAATTTATTATTTATATTAATTACTAACATTATTGACAGTCCATTGAACACAGCCCAGTAGGCGGTATTTTTATTATACATATTCAATTGCATTTGTAAGACAGCCGGGCAGACAGTATATATCGAAATCAATTATGTTATGTCAGCAACAGTTAAGGTATTCGATCAACAATAGTGTTATAAAAAAAATTGTATCATAAAACCAAATCTTGTTTTTATTCCGAATAACAACAATAATTCACCTAACACTGCATATTTTTTAAGAAATTTAATATTCGATTTCTCGAATTTTGGAAGTTCGTTGCAGCCCTGTAAGTAAAATACAACCCTGTGATTTGGCCGGAAACCAATTTTTGTGGCATTGACGCACACTGCCGCAACATGTTCTTTTTCAGGCGTACGCCTTTGCGCATACATCGTGTACCGATTTCTTCCGTGAAAAATGTAAGATTATTTTGTTAAAATCAAAGTGTATAAACATAAAAGCATAAGCAAATGATTTTTAAGCGATGCGGCTGTCTGCTGCAATCGAAAGCTTCGTGAAATGCATTGTGCAAATGGCCAAAACTTGCTGGTTTCATTAAGCCACGCACAATGAGGTTATATACGCCGCCCGTTTTTTTTTTTTTTGTTTGTGTGCGTGCCTGTGTATGTGTTATGAGCCCTTTCTGCCGTATCCGCACGTGTTTGCATTTGAATGCAGGCAATTTTCCAATTTTTTTTACGTCCATAACTAAAACCGCAGCAGTGAACGAAACGTTGTTGTGGTATTCAACTGGACTATATTATACGCCATGATTTACTATTCCTCTTAAGGGTATCGGCTTGAAGATATTAACCTTAATAAAGTCAAAAATCAACAAATACATAAGTAACATGAAATACCTAAATTGACGGTTAAATTAAATTGCCTTTGCTTACATTGCAGCATGGCCGAAGTAGCTGAAAACGTTGTCGAGAACTTCGAGGAGCCGGCGCCATTGGAAACGGAGGTTGCCGAAGCTTTGATCGACACAAATGTGGTCGCCACCACCGAGTTGCCAGAGATCAAACTGTTCGGTCGCTGGTCTTGCGATGATGTGACTGTCAACGATATCTCGCTGCAGGATTACATCTCCGTGAAAGAGAAGTTCGCACGCTACCTGCCCCATTCGGCTGGTCGCTATGCCGCCAAGCGTTTCCGCAAGGCCCAGTGCCCCATCGTGGAGCGTCTGACCTGCTCCCTGATGATGAAGGGCCGCAACAACGGCAAGAAGCTGATGGCCTGTCGCATTGTCAAGCACTCTTTTGAGATCATCCACTTGCTAACTGGCGAGAACCCACTGCAGGTAAGCACATAGTATTCGACTTGTCCTTGTCTTTGTCACCGTGCCATGCTAAACTGTGCCCGTGCTAAAAACAAGCCACACGGAACACAGGTAGAATGTGCACGCAGATAAAACTTCTGTTTCAATATCCTAGTGTTCGAAGCACTACTCTTCCTACTCTCTTGGAACTTGAAACTACAAGTAACGCTTTGTAATTTAGCGTTAGCTTTAATATTCTGATGTCCCGCTCTCTTGCAACTCAAAGCCACAACTGTAGTCCACCTCAATGCCAGGCAGCTAATTTCTCGTGCTGTGCTGAGCATCCATTAAAACGGACTTATAAAAATATTGTTTTAATATCCTAGTGCCTGAAGATTTCACTCTCTTCTTGCTCTCTTGGAACTTAAAACTACAACTATAAATTCAAATAGCGCGGAGACTCGTAGCTTAACCAAACAGCTACATCTAGTCCACCTCAATGCCAAACAGCTAATATTTCCTACTGTGCTGAGCATCTTATTTTAATTGGATTCAAACTAATTGAGGTTTTAATATCCTAGTGCCTGAAGATTTCGCTCTCTTCCTGCTCTCTTGGAACTTAAAACCACATTACGCTATGCTCTTTTTGAACACTCGGTTTATGTCCAAAACTAAAACCACATCAGTGATTTACACGCTGGCGTGGTATTCAACTGGACTACATCGAAATCCATGGTTAACTATTCCTCTTAAGGGCATTGACTCGTAGATGCAAACCTTAATAAAGTCAAAGCCAACAGCATCTTTGCAGAGCAATATGTTTTAGTCCACCTCAATGCCAGCCAGCTTGTATTCCATGCTGAGCTAAGCATCCATTTCAATTGGACTCATAATAAATATAGGGTTTTAATATCCTAGTGCCTGAAGATCTTACTCTCTTCCCGCTCTCTTGGAACTTAAAACCACATTACGCTATGCTCTTTTTGAACACTCGATTTATGTCCAAAACTAAAACCACATCAGTGATTTACACGCTGGCGTGGTATTCAACTGGACTACATCGAAATCCATGGTTAACTATTCCTCTTAAGGGCATTGACTCGTAGATGCAAACCTTAATAAAGTCAAAATCAACAGCAGAAGCCTAATTATATGTATATAGAATGTCATTTGTATCCCAATTGTAGTCCAACTCAATGCCAACCAGCTTATATGCTGATTTGAGCATCTATTTAAAATGGACTTATAATAAATATGAGGTTTTAATATCCTAGTGCCTAAAGATATCACTCTCTTTTTGCTCTCTTGGAACTTAAAACTACACTTAAGTTAAATTGGTATTGCAACAGACTTGATTTTTACTTGTGCGACTTATTTAAAATATTCGTATCGTTTGTCTTGCAGATCTTGGTGAGCGCCATCATCAACTCGGGACCACGTGAGGACTCCACGCGTATTGGCCGTGCCGGTACCGTGCGTCGTCAGGCTGTGGATGTGTCCCCCTTGCGTCGTGTCAACCAGGTTGGTCTTTTATAGCTGTTCGTAGTCGTAATCTCCATTTGGCCAGCAACGATGGCACGCAGTTCGAACCGCGACTGCGTTCTTATAACGCTTGGCTATAATAACCATACATCTATCTATCCGTAGCGTCACAATGTGTAATTAGCCGACATTTGGCGTATGAACTGAAGAGACATCACATGCTATAAAATACTCTTTTGAATTGCGATTATTTAATTGTTTAATAACTTTTTACTTGCAGGCCATCTGGCTGCTGTGCACCGGTGCCCGCGAGGCTGCTTTCAGGAACATCAAGACCATTGCCGAGTGTTTGGCCGATGAGCTCATCAATGCCGCCAAGGTAAGCCATTAAACGTAGAGACTCACCTTAGTGTATGCGTATGTCTACTCTAATGCCACGCAATGTATGGCCAAAATGCGTCGCCTCGCTTGCAGACGAGATTAGGAGTTGTTCGGCGTTCGTTGCCCTTTAAAAAGTGGGCGGCAATTAATTGCCCACTTTACCGTGGCATTCGTTACATTTGATTCTTCTTACATGAGCATATTTATATAAATATATATATTATCTAGTATGTCCAGTCTAATTCTGCATCATGTCACTTGGATATTGTTGCAGACTCGCTTTTGGACAAGAGCAATTTATGTCTTTTATTATCCTTGTGCTTGTGGCAACACTCAGCTCAATGCACACGAGAAACGTAGAAGAACAATTAATAAGCATATTTATATATATATTATCTTATATGTCCAGTCTAATTCTGCATCATGTCACTTGGATATTGTTGCAGACTCGCTTTTGGACAAGAGCAATTTATGTCTTTTATTATCCTTGTGCTTGTGGCAACACTCAGCTCAATGCACACGAGAAACGTAGAAGAACAATTAATAAGTCTAAGCTTGAACAAATTATGTTTTCAACAATGAATAAACTCACATCTGTTTTATCTGTTGCTTCGTTTGCAGGGTTCATCCAACTCGTACGCCATCAAGAAGAAAGACGAATTGGAGCGTGTTGCCAAGTCTAACCGTTAAGAAGCAACCGCACACATATGCAAATAACAAATACCGTTTGTTTAATGTTCGATTAAAATTTGATACTTTACGTGTGGTGTAAATTTGTATGTAAACGGCAGCGTTTTGATCAATTTTAAGCGGGCATTGAATGAACAGGTTGGAATGGGATGTGGCCAGGAGCTAAAGATACACATGAATTGTTCAGCAAATAAATTGTGTAAAAAATAATATAGGACACAATGCTTTTTTTTAAATAGCTATAGAGTTTATCACTAGAAATAAATTTTATAATTTTGTACGTACCAACACATACGTCACGAGCTGAAACGAAGCCGTTTTTTACGTTCGCCGATCTTCAAAATTGTGCTTTGGTTAACAATTGGCGAAATCGAATTTGCATGGATTTCGATAACGATTGCGATTGCGATCAGATTTAAAAGTCTGTACAACCCTGAGAAGTGGCAGCGCTGGTCTGCGTGCCAATGCTGCCACACTTTTCTGTCATTTTGCAAAAAAGTCCAATTTGAATATTTGCGTTTTGTTCAGCAAATATACCTACATGCCTTGCCTCAGGCACTTGCTTGGGTAAAATGTTCAATGTGAATACAGTTATTCAAACGCAAGGACTTAGCACAAATTCAAGTACTAGCACTGCGCTCGAGGAACGTTCGCTTGAGCGCCACAGCCAGTAAGTAGTGCAAAATTACAACATGGAAAAGAAGTAAACACGAATGAAATACAAAATACATACTGTACATAGATTCCACGAACAAAAGTTAATTGAGAAGTTTTGCCGGGCGACGCAACTAGTGAAATTGATCGAAGGGACCGTCGAGAACTTTCTGCGCAATTACAGGCGCACGCGCAAACCGGAGGAGGCGCTGGCGCCCCTGCGTCTGCGCCTGGACTTTAACTACGTTGAGCTGGTTGAGCACGCACCGCAACTGCTGCACCTGGTCGTCGAGGAGCCTCTGCAGTTTGCCGAGGCGGTCAAGTACTCCGTCTACGGGCAGGTGCGCGATTTGCTAAAAGCCAACGCCAACGACAACGGAGTCAAAGCGATTGATATCGCCCAGCTGCATACACATTGGCGTCTTGTGGATCTGCCGCTACAGCAGAATCTACTGTACAATCCATCGCAGTATCTGTACCGTTTGGGCCTGGCGCTGGTGAATGGCTTCTTGTCCGCTTATACGCCGCCGGAGACATTAGTGTGAGTATGCAAGAGGGAGAGAGTGAGATAGAGTGAGAGAGGGGGAACTGTGATCGAGACAATCTATTACGTCTGGCAAGCCTTGTTCGCCATGATCTGAGCTTGGGAAACAAACCCTTTGCCTAGAAGCTTTCATCTATCCCAAAGAATGCCTGGACATTCACAAAGAATGTGCATAATTCTTTCGTCTGCCTTCGAGCAAAGCCTAAACTCAGTCTCAAGTAGTTTCTTACCAAGCATCTAGTTTCATAGGTTAGCAAGAGAACAATAAACAGCTAAGCTTGTTAAAGCTGATTGCTAGAATGCCAAAGACTTTCAGATTCGCTTTGGAAATAGGATGCCACCATGGAAGTAGAAACCTGTTGTAGGTGCCGAGAGCTGCAGCAGACAGTTCCAGCAATCTGCTACGAGTTTCAAGGTTAACCCTTGAATGAGAGAGCTTGAATGGAAGTAGGTTTCGTGTTGCTGCTGAAGTAGGCCGAATCGGACTACAATTTCGTACCGTTGCCATAGGACGGGTATATAATTCTTGTATGAACAACTCTTTTGTTATTATAGATTGAAATTGAGCTTATCACTTGGCAGCCATGGTTGTTGAAATATTTGATATCTGTCTTATATAAGTATCTGCAAGGATATTTAATCTTGAAATTTGTTTGTTTTCTTGTATGTATCTTTCGCACACACCAGACTGCAATCGATTTGGTACTGTGCAGGCGGTTGCATGCGGAATGCGATTCAAACCAGCTCCACGGATGGTAAGTCTATTTGAATGCATTCCTTAACACCACACACGGACACGCTGGCGATCTGAAAGCTATAGAGAGTAGACATGCGTAGCCCACTAACACAGAGGCACATACTAGCACACGCCCAGTGTCCTAGACCCCATCCAAGTGGTCGTTTCATTAAATGTAAGCCGTCCGAAACGTTTGCTGCTCAATTCAGTTTCCGACCGCTTCACATTTGAAATCATCTCAAGCTTTATTCCGTAAATCCGTAAATTAAATATATATATATTTTCTTAATTCACTGCCTGATTGTCCAGCGCCATTGTGTCCCAACTGCTCGCGTCCCATGAATGAATACCAAAAGCTGCGCGTAACAGAGAATTATCGTTTGATCGCCGTATTGCCGGTCGAGTGTGCGCAGACCCCGAGATCAGTGGACTGCATTTATCGGCCAATTCTAGTGCGTTTGCGTGGTAAGTGTATAAGAAAACATCTAGCGAACAAAGTAATGCAGCTTCTCTTTGTATCTGTCAGCCCATACCTACGACGGTGATTTGAAGCTAGGCGCCAATTACGTGATAACTGGCTATTATTGCGGCACAGCTAGCAGCTATCAGTTTGAAGCATGCCATCTAAGAAAAGCTTAAAGGCCTCACGCAATCGCCGACAGCCTGTGCAGCTCATTGATTTCTTGCGCGCCGATGGGGCTCAGCCGAAGCCAGCACAATCCATAAACAGCCAGTCTGCGGCGTAAGCATACAATTCGTGCAGACTGTTTGAAAGTAGTAAATGTGTATTCATGCTTTCTACTTCCAGGACAAATGTCAGCCCCGTAATAAGTTCTACTAACACTACCACAGCTTCAGCCGCAGCATCTGCTAGTGGAGAACGCGTCTGGGGCAGGTTGCCCAGCGCACAGAATGTAAACAACAATATCGCTTCCTTTACTCCGACCGACGAGGATTTTCCCGTTGTCGGCGCCGTACGCAAGAAGCCAAAGACCGCTCGAGCTGCTGTTGTCCCGCCAGCAGATCAGCCAGTTGGCCAGCGTATTGGCCATTACGTGCGTCAGTCAACATCCAGCAACTCTCTTGAAAAGCAACAAGTGGTGAATAAATGGCTCAAAACTGTGCAGCAGCCGATTGCCCAATCTCAGCAATTATCAACGCAATTGTCCCAGTTCGGTGCGTCACAATATGAGACTACTGTCAGCGCACCTGCTCCTGCTGTTTCGCAACAGCAACAGTCCCAAGGAACGCATCAACAGCAGGCTCCACCATGTGCTGCTGGCAGCAAGATGATGCCACCGCCTGCAATCAGCGGCAACCAACCAAGCGGGCACGCACAACAGGCTTCGTTTGCCCAGAGCGTGCCGCATTGCCCGGTCACAGGCCCGAACATGACCATGTCCCTGCCGGTGGATGGCGCCATGCGCACCGCACCCAAAATTCGCTCCGTATCTGGCGAAGCTGCCAGGACTGCCGTACCAGTCAATGAGCGTGTTGTCCATGAAACTGACGGCACACAGCTACCGCAACATCAATGGCGACGCAATGATCGCCGCGTGCAACGCGAGCAAGCGCCGCATATAAATGCACGCAGAGAGCATCCGGGCTTGCCGTCGCAACTGCCCGACGAGCTGATGATGCAGCCGCCCAGCCCTGTGCACAGCGGCCGTGATGATGATGATGCTTCCTTTGTGCTGGAGCTGCAGCAGGCCCTGGCTGCCAATGCGCCGCTAACGCAATCCCAATTGCAGCTGGACAACATCGCGGCACATAGCACGCTGAACTGGAATGCCAACGAGTTTCGTCCCATGCAGGGGTCAGCGCTTGCAAGAGAGCCCAGAAATATGATTAGCGTAAGTGGGATATGAGCTATAAAATGATTATATTACACATTCTTTCACTTGCCCTGCAGGAACGTCGCCGTCGTCAGCGATTCCATCGCACACTCAAGCCCCATGCGCTCTTTGAGCTTGTGTCATTGCCCTCTGATGGGCTGCCGCAGTCGCAATCAACTGACAATAGCCAGGGATCGCAAGCCACATTTAATATATCGCCCAGCTATACGGATTCGAGTGGAGCACCAACGGCTGCGGTCGCGGCAAGAACTGTAGCGGCTGCCACAGCCGCCAGGCAGCTGCCCCTGCAGAACAATAACAACAATGCCAGCCAGTCGGTTTTTCGGCTCGCCAGCCTCCCCAGCACGGGTATCGGCACAGGCAACAGCAGCCTGTCAACAATATTCGGCCCCTCTGACAGCCCAACCCAAACAGACGCGGCGGTTGACTTTTTACGAAGTCCGCCCTTATTGAATATGGATCCGCCAACGCAGGAAACTGAAGCGCTGCTGTTCCTCGACGTGGAAGAGTTGGAAAACTTGAGCGAGGTTTCTGATGTGGATCAAGAGAGCCCCAACATGCCGCATCGCAGAAACAAAGCTTTCCCACGTCACATAATTTTTGTAAGCCGTGACAGTCCACAACGCCGCAATTTCGACGTCGATTTGAATTTTATGCCAAAGAGCATCAAGAAGTTGTATCGTCTGATATGCTCCAAATACTCGGACTATGCCTTTGTCTATGCGCTGAGTGCGCAGCTGAGCCAAGAATGTGTGCCCATGGAGTGCTATGTGTATCTGAAGATGGCGCTGTTGAGCAGCCTGGTCAGCATTGAGCTGGACGATTTGCGTGCACCCATTTCGTTGTGCGTCATCTGCGCCGACAGCTGTGTGGCTAATCGGCTGTTGCACAACGTCGGGCAATTGGCACCCCGTTTCATTGGTCCCCACGAGGGTGGTCAGCAACCGACGCAAACAGCGCTGCCATCGCGTTACAATTGGGTGGTGGCCAGCCCATTGCTGCTGGCTCAGCAGGGCGTCTACTTTGCCGGCGACTGGAATCGCCTGTCGCGCGATCAAACTGAGGAGCTGGAGAAATGCATTGAGAATGGCAGCGTGCCAGTGCCACAGCTGCAAAGTGCGCAGCCGCTTGAAACAGCCATTTGGACATACTGGCAGCCGGAGAATGCGGCCAATCAGACAACTGCCTTTGCCAAGCTTTGTCCGTAAGTTGCTTTCTCCCAAATAATTATTCATATACTCACCATATATATATATATATATATATATATATATATATATATATATATATATATATATATATATATATATATATATATATATATATATATATATATATATATATATATATTTATATTCAAGCATCTTTGGCCTGCCCGTGTACATGGATCAGCAGGTGAATGAAACTATGTGGGACTTTGTGCTGCGCCAGTACCGTAGAGATGAGAGAGAAGACGCAACGCAGGATGCATTTAATATTCCCTTAGACGATACACGAACACTGCTTGAGTTGCTCCAACATCGCCAGGTGGCCTTTACCGATGAGGCCCAACAACTGCTGCAAAAATACTATGTTGTCTCGCGCATCGAGCAGCCCAGTGAGCCAATCTTGCATTTCATTTCAATTCATGGCATTCTCTCTATATCTATATCTGTTTCTGTTTCGCTTGCAGCCGCATTCAGCAGCAAAACGTATATTGTGCTTAAACAGTTTGCGGAATCGATTGCTAAGCTGGCTATGCGCCTGGACGTACTCGAAGCGGATGTAACCGTTGTCATATTCCATTGTGAGCATTTTGTGCGTAGCATCTTTGGTGCTGGCAGCTATCCGCCGCCAGCTGTTGCCAGTTTCAATGTTATCTCCCGAATTGATCCCTACATGAACGAGTTTGCGCGCTGGCTATATCAATATTTGGATCGCTATGAGGACAATTTGGACGTCGACAGCAGACATCCTAAGCGCCAACGTATTGAAAGTTTCTAAACATGCCAAAAGTAATTGTTGAATTGAATGCTGCACAGATTATTTGAATACCAAACTAATTTGACATAAAATGCGAAATTGATAATATATCTATACCATACTTATACTGTATTAGTAACTAAATATTTGGAAGCATCTGTGCAGCATTTTACAAATATTTGTTATTAACTAGAAGTTAGATTAGTATTTAGTTTACCCCATATTATCTTAACAGAATTTTCGGAAATACCAGTATTTATCACCAATTCGTTACAGGCATATTGAATATGCATACATATTGAGTATATTTTTTTACTTATGTCTATCTAGAAATAAACTTGAACGATATATCTTTATTAGTTTATATAATAGCTATGTAAGCATGCGAGTAAATTGGCCAAAGGACATAGCTTTTCAATACCTTAATCTTGGTCCTTTGACAACCCACATATCCTTTAATGTCAATCGATGTTAATGGTCCTTACGATCCTATCTCACCCATTCCTTTGAACATCTGCAAGTATATGGCCGAGTTTTGGTAATTTTTCTAAAAAGGACATTCGTTTTTTAGCCATATCTCGGCCGTATCCTTCCGGATCTCAGAAAATTACACCTCTTTGAACTCGCAGGAAGCAGGACTATTGATTGGCATTCAAGTATTTCCAGGATTCGACCAATTTTTCCGAAAATTTTCCTAGGGGTAAGTCGCAAAAATGGTCTAAAATCCACAAAATCCGGGCTAACTCGGGCATTTTAAGGACAATCGGGATGTCCTTTTGCCAACAGAATGTCCTTGTGACCCCAATTCTGAATTTACAATAAAAATGACGAAAGTCCTTTAAACAGCTGAGAATAAGTGTGAATTTTGTATATAGAAAATTGCCTGTAACTCGGCCGTATCCTTGCAGATCCTTGCGAGTCATGTGTCAAAAATTTCTTATAGACAGGAGCTACCAACTGGCCAAAGGACATCCAAATCGCCCTTAAAGTTCCAAAGATATTAATGATTTTGTGTTTTTGGCCTGTTTCCTTTGCGGCTGGCGACACAAAATTTGCAAGTCCTGGATTCTTAGACGACCCCATACTTTTTAAATGCAGATCGATGCAGTTTGTCCGTGTTATCCCAACGCACCAAATCCTTTGAAAAACTAAGGATATGGCCGAGTTATGGTCATCCTTTTTATATATTCATTAAATATTCGGCTATAAGTTGGCAAGGACTATTTTGATGTTATCGGTTTAAAAACAATTGTTTATTTGCTATTTGCCGTAGCGACTTACAGTTTGCTTTGTAATATAATATTTTCATTTGTATTGAATTATGTTAATAGTTTTTGATTATCTTTTTATTCAGTTGCCTGAGCACAAATTGTTGAATTAGGTTTGTTTTTACGGTAATACAGAGTGTGGGGGGAAAGAGTCCGACCAGTTCTTCGTTCAACTGTCAACCCGCACTTTTATCAAAATATACAAATACAAATATATATTGTATCATAAATTTAAATTTCACATCAAAACTTCAATATAGTTACATATAGTCATAGGTTCATTTGGTTAATAGTTATAAAAATAAAATTGTAGTTCATGAAATGGTTGCGTTATTTGCGTTGGGCTTGTCTGTCAAATATATATGTGTCTGTGTATGTGTATATACATATATCTGTATGATATATGCGTTTGTATGTATATAAAAATAATGCTTATTTTTCTAAATTATGACAAAATTAAAAGCATAAAAAATACATTCTTCACTTTGGTCCAGTACTGAAATCTCGGATTTCGATAGTTGCCAAAATTGGTTGCTTAGTTTCTTGGTATTTTTATACCCTTGTTTGTTTCTCTTGTTTCGATTTGGATACATACAGGATTTATGTAACCTAACTAACGACTATATATGAGCTCCCTTCTTACATATCTACAAAAGTTTACATTTTAAGTTGAGCTAAAACCATTTCAATGTGTGTGTGTGTGTGTGTGTGTGTGTGTGTGTGTGTGCGTGTGCGTGTGTGTGCGTGTGTGTGTGTGTGTGTGTGTGTGTGTGTGTGTGTGTGTGTGTGTGTGTGTGTGTGTGTGTGTGTGTGTGTGTGTGTGTGTGTGTGTGTGTGTGTGTGTGTGTGTGTGTGTGTGTGTGTGTGTGTTGGGCGCCAAAGGTGTTTTTTAATAGTCCAAATTTCCCTGGGCGCCGGTTATGATGGCATCAATCCAAATGCGTGCCGCTGCATCCGAGGCAGCCTGCAGATTATAGCTACGTTTCTTGGTCTTCACAATGAAGGTACAATGGGGCCGACCGCTCTTGGAGGCATTCAAATGATCCAAATACACCTCGTCTATGGTCTGCAAATGGAGTAGACAAGTTTTCATATTTGATAGCCTTAGCCATGTTTATTTTGTTGTACTCACGGCAAAGTAGGCGCCTCCACGTGGCTTGCGCTCCGACTTATCCGAGTAGTAGATGAGAGCGCTGCGTTGACGATCCAGAACAAACCAGCGCCGCGACCAGGCATGAAACGTGGCGCCCAATTTGTGCAGGTAACTGAAATGGGTTTCATTATATATTTTATATATATATATTTGTATATTTTGCATATAATCAGTATCATATTGTTGCTCACCCGCGACAGCTATGCGCATCGACAAACACATGCGGACAGAGATCGATCTGATGGCCGGCGGTCTCGATGTGATGCCGCAGATTCAGATCCGGCGAGAAGATGGGCAGGTAACGTGTCAGCGGCCGCTGATGCTTGGGCAGGGCGCGCTTCCTTTCGCCGCTGGTGCTGGCGCTGCTGCTGCTGCCGTTGCCGCCGGCGCCGCCGCCACCGCTGCTGCTGCCAGCGCTGCCGCTGCCGCTGCCCGCCGAGGCGGTGTCCTGTGAGTTGCTATGGCTGCTGGCGCGCTTGTTCTCAGACGCGGCATCGCCGTTGGCAAACTTTGGCGCCTCAATGGCGGCCTCGCAGTTGTTGGCCTCGGAGAGCGGACGTGGACTGCGCGCCGTCGTCCCCGCGACAAGTCCATGATGCTCCAGTTCCGGCTGTGAATGCCGTTGCTGTGGATAACCAAACAAAAACCCAATAAAAGAGCGTGTCGCAAGTGCTTTGGAGCGCCAAAAGAGAGCTGTTGCAAGTGGGTTAGCGGGTTGTCCAACTCTATAAATAGCCGCGCAAAAGCCAAAAGATCTTTTCTATGCCAGGGACAAAGCTGCGCATTCCGCTGGTCGCTGGCCGTTGGCCGCTGGCCAATGCGTTTAACCCCACAATGGCTACGTCGGGTTAACAAGCACTCTAACATCATGTTAAATTTGCTCAGTTGCAGAGTTGCCAATTCGTTTTGTCTAGCAACTCAATCGTAGGGCTGCCACACGCAGTTTTGTATCGCTGTTTCAAATACTAAGCCCAAAATTTAATACTCTTGCAGACGTCCGTAATTTGTTCTTTTAGGAGTCATACGATATATAATAGCCCGATTTGATACGATTTTTACAGATATGTGTGTGAAGCAAAGTAGCTGGTTTGCTTAGGGATACCCTGTATATATCCATACAAAAAACGTTTTTCGACCTATATATTTAAAGATCTATAAATGAGCTTTGTGATATAGTTCAATAAATATACATCTTGACGCTTGGGGAATGTTAACACAAACAAAATAACGTATTTAGTACATGGCTACATCCATCTATCAATACATATATATACATATATCTTTAATTCGTTAAGTGAGCACAAATATGGGCTTCCATCAATATCTGTGGAAAATGAGTGAAAAACTTGTAGTTGCACTAAGACGGGATTCCATCAATATGTGTGGAAAATGAGTGAAAAGCTTGTATATGGAATTTGTGTGTTCAATTTTCAACGGATTTGCTTCAAAACTCGTTAAATAATTGCAATAATGATTGATTTCTTTGCCATCTGTAATGTAAATTGATCTAAAATTGGCTCTTAATTAATTTGTGTTGTTTTACACATTTTTAGCAGTTTACAAGTGAAAGCAATTCCGCACACTTGAAAGAGAAGCGAACAGGCATGCCACATACACACAGATACACACACACACACACACACACACACACACACACACACACACACACACACACACTCACGAGATAATAGAGTTCTGTGCGCTGTCGTGCATTCGCATCCATGCGACGATGCTGCACATAGGTCATCCAGACAGACATGATCCCGAGCTAAGCTGACTGCCTTGTTTGGCTTGAAGCTGTTGGGAATTCGAACGCGCTCTTGAAAAGTCGACCGTGCAAATCCGAATGTGAATGCGGAATAAAATAGGAAAAAAACAATGCGGAATTAGCAACGGGCGCGGGTCTGTGGCCAAAAATGAAACGAGGCGCACACGAACATTGTCCAGCAGCGGCAGCGTATCGGGATACGAGATTCACAGATTCGGCCAATTATAATCGTAATGAGGCGCACACAATTTATGGGTCTATTGGCGCTCTACGAAGATCGAAGAAGCTGCTGTTGCTGCTGCGGCTGCCACTGATGATGGTACTAGAACTTGTAAACAAAATTTGCCACCAAGGTAAACAACAACAACAACAGCAACAACAAAGACTACAACAACAACAACAAGAAGTGAGAAGTGCGCATAACGAGCAGCGGACACAAACTGACGACCCCACCAGAAAATCATCAGCTGGCGTCTTCGGCGAATATATAAAGAAATAATATTATAAACTTATTAATAAGTGTAGTCCATAGAACAGAGCACGGTGCGACAGGATGCGGCGGGGGCGGGAACGGGGGCGTTTGTTTTTAAAATAAACATTGGTAAAAACAAAAATATATGAAAATGGCAAACAAATTGTCGAGACGCTGAATAACTGAATAAAACTCGTGACTAACGAGCTGACGATCGATTGCCGATGCCGCGGGGCCGTCAATCGTGATGTTACGATCCAGGGCAAGAGAGTGAGAGAGAAAGAGAGAGCGAGAGAGAGAGAGAGAGAGAAAGAGAGAGAGCGAGAGAGAAAGAGAGAGGGAGAGAGAGGAAGAGATCCTTAAGTGCATTGACATGCTCCAGAGACGAAGGAAACAGTCACCAAACAATTTTTGTGTGTCATCTATCAAATACTTTTGTCTACTCAGCGAAAATTGATGACCTCCAAGGCATATTCATCCAATGTAAACATAATTTGGACCAACTATAACAATTAATAATATAACAAGGACTGAAGCTCCGTAACATGCTGATAGGGTGTCTATAATGTTGTTATATGCCTCGATCAAAAAAGTAGGTGGTTAAGTGAACTAGTTCTTTAGACCCAGACGATGTAACAATAATAATAATAATAAATTTAATAATAATAATAATAATAATAATAATAACAATAATAATAATAGTAACAATAATAACAAAAATAATAATAGTAATAATAATAATAATTATAACAATAATAATAATAATAATAATAATAATAATAATAATAACAATAATAATAATAATAATATTTATAATAATAATAATAATAATAATAATAATAACAACAATAAAAATAATAATAATACCAAAAATAAATAAAATAATAATAATAATAATAACAATAATAACAAAAATAATAATAATAATAATAATAATAATAATAATAATAATTATAATAATTATAATTATTATTAAAATGTAATCATTATAGAAATCAACTATTATAAATATTATATATATTTATATTACTAACAGTAGCAATAACAATAATAATAATACGAATTACTATTATTACTAATAATGGTAATATATGGTATATGTGGTATAAAAAAAAGAATTATAATAAAACCAACAATGCGCGGTGAAATAATATTGATATGCAAGTGAAGTGAAAATCAAATCATACTAATAATAGTAATAAGATAATAATAATAATAATAATAATTATGGAATACAACTAGCTTCATAACATATGCAAATATTCATAATAATAGTAATAACAATAACAATAATTATCTAATTTTAATAATAATGATGATATCCTAATTTAATCAATTATATGACTAATAAAATAATATTGACATTAATAAAAAATAATAAAATATGCTGCTCCAAACTCAAATGCAAAACTCTAGACGAAAAATTAATAAATACGTGTCCCCAAAAATGTACCCAGAACTTGTTTATAAATGAAACTAAATATGTATCGGGCAAAGCCGGACAATTCCTGCTAATATTTGTATATAGCCGTTAAGAAGGAATTTGTTTAAAAATAAAAAAAAAAAACATAAACATATTAACTTTATTATCTGATATTTTACAGCTTTGCCCCGGCCATTTGTTCATTTTCAAATTCAGTCTATAATATGATTCTTATCAGTTTTCGATTTAGGAAAATCTGTAAAATACACGGATTGTAACCAAATTATTTGATAATTCTTAGGAATTGAGTTTGAGGTTAGATAAAAAGAAAAAAAAAAATACTTTTTAAAATTCATCATACTTGATCTTAAGGTTGGATTTGTGGTGATATTTATTTTAATTGTATAAAACAACTCTTAAAATAGTTAATGCCAATAAATTTAAAGATGAAAGAGAAAATAATTGAAAATACTTTTAAAAATATGTTAAAAATGTCAATACCAGGGCTGCAAACCGATTCGTTTTAAAAATAAACATTTATAAATTTATATTTAAAGGCAAAACGAACGTCAAACAAGTTGTCAAAAAGGGCAAAAGGGAGACTCGTTACCAAGGTAAAAGTAACTTTGATACCAAGCATGACATTTATTTAACCAAATGTGATAAATATCAATTTGGGGTGGACATCAAATTTAGCCCGCATTTTGTTTATAAAAATATTTATTGATTGCAATATTAAATTAAAAATGAAATTAGTTCCTTACAACTTAAGAACTATTTGACAAATGAACCAAACTTAAGAGCAAAGAGTTGGTTTAAACCGTGAACCGAAACCAGAGAGTGTTTTGTTTTCGGTTTGCAGCCCTGGCATGTAGATTGAGAACGCGCACTCTGACGATCTTCGATCTTTTTTGCATTAGACATTTGAATCGTGTTGGGAGCGAAAGGTAAGTAACCTTTATCTTATTATTTATAGACCTGCTTTGGTACTGCCCAATTAAGCACTATCTTTCTAAAGTCTCTTAGCGTTAATTCTTAACAGTTTTTACTGTTGACACGCGTATATTTGCTGTTCTTATCGCCGCTTGAACAACAGGTTTCTAGTATGCGAGTTCAGTGCATGCATAACTATTGAATTGCTCGACTGGAAGATACCTCTGTCATTATTTATAGAAATGTTTGGGTACATTAACAAAAATATTTGCGATTTATGCTAATCCCACCTCTTGGTTATCATGCTCTTTATGTGCACTTTACAGGGTATCTAAATAAGTGGAGTTACTTGGAATAGTATATACGATTTATGTGGGAAGCGTTTGTCCAAAATATAATGCCACCTCTTGGTTATCATGCTCTTCTTATGCACCTTACAGGGTATCTAACTAAGTGGAGTTACTTGGGGTAGTATTTACGATTTATGTGGGAAGCGTTTGTCCAAAATATAATGCCACCTCTTGGTTATCATGCTCTTTATATGCACCTTACAGGGTATCTAACTAAGTGGAGTTACTTGGGGTAGTATTTACGATTTATGTGGGAAGCGTTTGTCCAAAATATAATGCCACCTCTTGGTTATCATGCTCTTTATATGCACCTTACAGGGTATCTAACTAAGTGGAGTTACTTGGGGTAGTATTTACGATTTATGTGGGAAGCGTTTGTCCAAAATATAATGCCACCTCTTGGTTATCATGCTCTTCTTATGCACTTTACAGGGTATCTAAATAAGTGGAGTCACATGTGATATACTATATACTATTTATGTGGGAAGCGTTTGTTCCAAATATAATATGCCACCTCTTAGTTATTATGCTCTTTATGTGCACTTTACAGGGTATCTAAATAAGTGGAGTTACTTGGGATAGTATATACGATTTATGTGGGAAGCTTTTGTCCAAAATATAATGCCACCTCTTGGTTATCATGCTCTTTATATGCACCTTACAGGGTATCTAACTAAGTGGAGTTACTTGGGATAGTATTTACGATTTATGTGGTAAACGTTTGCTCAAAGTAATATATTAGCTCAATGCTTTTATATAGTTGCATTTGCAAATATATACATATTCCAGGGTATCAACACAAGTTTCTCAGCCCACAGTTGGTTTTAAAACAAGGGCTTATTCGTATATATCCCAATGCAGTTCTATTGGCCGGATCTAGGAAATTGTAGTCGACATTCTGAGATATCATTTCAAGTAACAGGATATTGCATTTGTTTAGACGCTCTGTTTACTCTGTGCTCAAGTAACGTGGCATTTTAGCAATAAATACGCCGCATTGCACTCGGCTCTGTCTAGGGTATTCGCAAATGATGGCTATGGCAATTGTGTTTGTCTAACATTTCTAACACATGGATGGAGGAAGGGGTCAGATTTGTAATCTTGAAATCGATGAATGTTCGATCTGATGATGTGGGGGCTTGTAAATCTTGTGGACCACAAATTGTATTTGGGCAGATTTCAAATTGTTTATTTACAAAACGTGTGGCGATTGTTTGAAATTACAAATGTGCCGTGTGGGCGCATAAATTGAATGACCTTCGATGCATTCACAAGAGGGAGGGGGGAAAGGGGGGGGGGGGGGGAGGGCAGACAGATCTGCCAGCGGAAGACATAAAATGGAAGACTTTCGTTTCGCGTTTGGCCTAGGTTAACTTTTGGCTACTCACCTGTTGGCTTGTGGCTGCTGCGGCTGTTGTTGTTGTTTTCGGACTGCCGCTGCCGTCACCTGACGCACTGTTCTCCTTATCGTGCTGTGTCTTTTGTTGTGCTGTCTCATCGTTGAGCTTCTGCAATTCGGTTTTCTCAAATAGTTTGGCATCTTTGCCGCCGCTGCAAGGACATGAATTAAATGCCTAGTTAGTCACTTTTATCATATTGAGATCGTTTTATCAGCTGTGCGGCTGCTGCTGCTGCTGCTGCGTACCAGCATGGAATCAGCGTATTTAGCTTATCCATCGCGATGACTAATGCAGCCTGCGGAACTGCGACTGCGACGGCGACTGCGACTGCGACAGCGACAGCGACGGCGACTGCTGTGGCGCGCTCTGTTTGACTGACTAAGCGACAGGCGCTGCGAATCGGAATCAAATGCGGAATCGGAATTGGAACCGAGTGCGGCAATGGATGAGGCGGACACAATGCATAAAATGCGAGCCGTTGGCAGTTGGCAAATAAAAAGGCGCTCTCCCGCACACAGACACACGAGCAGAGAGCGAGAGAGTTAGCAAGAGAGCGCGACTGATGCAAACACACGCACACACAGGCAAGCAGCTGATAAGCTGCTTATCAGCACAAGCAGCGATGCCAGCTGCGTTTGTAATTGCAGCACGCTTGCTTTTCAGGTGACGTCGTCGTTGCCGCCGTCGCTTGACTAACTAGCTGACCGACCGATCGAGCGATCTTCGAAATAGCTAAAGTCAAAGTCGGCAACGCGAGCGAATTCGGCATCGAACTCGAACTCGAATTCGAATTCGATTTCGGTTTGGGCAAGTAACGGGTGTCGTGTGTCGCCAATGAGTAAACCAAAAACCACACTAATCAACACGCACAATATTTGCCTTGTTGCCTTATTGTATGTATGTACATATATATGTAACTCTTCTGCTCTCTGTTTGCCTGTTGCTCTAACAATTTGAAAATCGAAAACCGGTTTCATTTTCAATCTACTCACAATTAGTCGCCGCCGCCGTCGTCGTCGTCGGCGTCGTCGGCGTCGTCGCAGTCACCGCATTGTTTTGCTATTAGCAAATAATTTGATTAATTATAGAGTCAACGGGTTGAGTGTGCACGCCACCCAAAAGGCATTTACACTGCACAACACACTTATGCAAGCACATTTAGAAAATATCTGGATTAAATTTGAAAAAATATGTAAGATCTGCACGAATTTTAATATGTGAAAAAAATTGAAATTATACTTTGATCGTTCGAAAATGAGAACTTACAAAAACTAGAATTGCAATTTTTAGGCAATGCGGCAAGCCGAACCGGTTCAACCTGGTTCACATTTTAAAGACGGTTTGGTTCAAACAATTTGCTGTTGTTTTCGCGTATTTAAGTTTCACATAAATATAAAAAAAGGATTCTCTATTTCTAATCGAACCAAAATTTGGGTTTACAGAATCTCAGTTTCACGAAACAAGCCCGAAGATAAGATATAGGTTTTTTTGTTTGTAGCCATATTTTAAATGCTTCTAAAAATCAAATCATTTTTTTTTTAACATTCAAATAAGAATGTTAATAATAAAACCCTTCTGGAACTAACCAATTGGGTTTTCTTTGTAAACTTTAACCAATTATCTTTTAGGCTTGTTTTTCCATACCTCAACCCAACTCAAAATATTCGTTTATTCGTTTATTGTTTATTTGTCAACTGACTTGACTGTCAAAGTTTACCAGGCACTTGCTGTACCTTTTAAATATTTTATTTAAGTTCTCGCTAGATAATCTGTCCTGCATTCCTATGAATGCATTTGAATGAATGAAGAGCTCTTTGATAGACAGATGTCTAAATAATCGATTTTAATTAATTAAAAAGCCAGATCAATAATGATTGCTTGCAACTAAAATAATATTAGAAACTTGATAAGATATGGCAAATAAATCATATATAGAAATAATAAGTAAACAATGAATATGGGTTTATAAAGGGAAGCTAAATAGATGGTATCAAGGCGATCAAAGTGAAAGCTACTCGAACTTTTACCGAATCTAGTGCTTTGTTGGACAGTGTAAGGGTGGTGCATCAGATCTATTGTCAGCTGCACAATTAATTAAGAGCGCCAACGATATTGTCAAGCATGTGGAACGAATGAAAGAATGCGCCGTCGGGGGGGTTAGGCAACTTGAACCCAAATGTTTTGGAGCTACTCCTCGGCTGCATTCGAGCCGAGCCGTTGATTCAATTAGAGAGTGGGCAAGATGGTAGTCGGATTGGTTAGAGGGCAGAATGTGGGGCAGAATGTGTGGTGGCACACTCACTTGGCGTTCACTGGAGCGTGTTGGGTTGGCGGCGCTTCAATCGTTGGCTCTGTTGTCTGCTGAGTGGAGAGCAAGTATTGGGTGCGTGCCTCGTCGTGGCTCTTCTTCTTCAGATCGTACATCTTTTGGCGCTCGTGCTCGATGACCTGATGACCTGTTGCGGTTGGCAATTGGCAAAGATTAGCATGAGGTAGCTCAAAGGGCAAGGGTTGCGCTTACCTTGCTGGGCCAGCAGCAGCTTGCGATTGCGTTCGATCTCCTTGATGCTGTCAAAGATTTTGGTGCTGGCTCCTTGGCTGGTCGAGATGGGCGCATCGTTGGCTACTTTACAGCTGCGATCGATGTCATCCTGCGAGGGCACACGTCGCTCCAGCGGATTCACTTCGAATCTGTCGCTGCGCAGCGATAAATTGAAGCTAATCTGCTCGCAGCTGCCGGCATCGTAAATCTGCAAAGGTGCTCGCTTCGGTGTGCTTGTCACCTGTGCTCCATGCGGCAGCTCGATCTTGTTGTTGTGGAACATGTTCTCGTTAACGCTCCTGGACATCAGATCCTCCTGATTGTGCCGCTTCGGGCAGAGCAGCTCAGCGGAGCCGAACAGCGACTGCGACATGACGCCATTCACCAGATTGCTGCTGCCGCCGTTCGAAGCGGGCGTTGCGCGTCCGCTTGTGGGCGATGTTGGCTCCTCGACTGAGGGCTCATCGGGACCCAGCTGGATGCGCAGCGATGCCAGCTCCGTTTCCAGCATTAGGCGCTGCTCCTGACGCTTCAGTTCCTCGTGGCATGCATGATGCTCCGACTCCTCCTCAAAGTACTGAAACTCCAGATCCTCGAAGGTCTTGCGATCGCTATCCAGCGACTCGCACACATGCTCCAGCTCCTCCTTCAGGCAGGCGTTGTTCGGCTTTTGCTTCAGCATGGCGCGCAGTCTGCAAAACAATAATGCAAACGTTAAGTTTTCTTCTGTTTTCCGATTGTGATTCACTTCTGGCACGGCAACAAAAACCAACTGAACGAACTTAACAAAACAGAAGCACGTGAAAACTGAAATTCCAATTTGAGAAACTCAATCCAATTTAACTGAAGTTAGCTGACTAGTGTACTCGAATGCGCCCATAAACCTAAGCCCGCAAATTTTTCACCTGGACGAATCCGATTTTCAGTTCAAACCCCTTTCAATACTAGACAAACGTAATTGCCTATTCAAATGAGGGCCCAGCCAAACTACTTAAACCCAACTGCCAGCCACAGTGCACTTATCTCCGATTTATATACCCTATACCTATTAAAAAGGCGCACACAAATGGGCATACCTAAATGCTCCAACAGGTGTTAGCTTGTTCTGAGTGTAATACATTCCTCTCCTATCTTTGGAGTTGATTTAAAATAGCATTTATTTGTTTTTGTTTTTTATGGAAACCCCAATCTCTGACATTCTAAAAACCATAATACAAAAGCACATAACTTCAGCAGCGCCTGCTAAAGGGTATCTACACGTCGATCACGCTGTATACAATCTTTATAGTTCTCGTCTAGCCCAATAGAGCACTTAATATTCGACTCGATTTGCATATTTGTCGGGTTTTTTCAGGTATTCGAACATATTATTGGATAATCGGATTAAACAAACGACTTTTACGTGAGTTATATTTGCGATATCTGATATATGGGATATGGGATATGGAATATATATAACTAGTTGATCTAGCTAAGGACTCAAAGATTAACTTTAGTTAGCTGTTAGGGCTGAAGAAATTGGGTTTGACTTAGGGCTTTAATTTTTGACAACGTCGTCCGTCTCTGTAAAATCGAAAGGTATCGATTTCTAGCCACGGATAACATATACCGAGTTATATAAGAAGAGCTGTAAACACAGGTATTCGTGAAGCTGGGAATAAACCAGAAAGAAGATCTATATTTGACAGGGCGAAGACTAAATACCCTTGCAGAGAAATATCCTGGAAGGGATTTTCATACTAAACTAAGCGACTATTTTACAAGGACCATATGGACTCGGCCAGTTGTAGCTGCGTCCATTGTGAATAGCCATGGTCGTTAATGTGGGTGCACATGCTCACTTATTCAGTTGATCCTGTTTCATTTCAATGGACTGCTTTAGCTTGGCCTGTTGATTCTCCTCCATCACGCGCGTCGCATTGCGCTGCGCCTCCAGGCGATGGATGCGATTCTGGAGTGCCAGCAGCTGCTGCCGCGGAGTCGCTGTAGCCGTCGGCCGCGTTGCGGATGCTGCCGCTGTTGTCGCGGATTGTACGCTCGGTTCCAGCTGCAAAAGTAAAACTGGGTTTAGTCAAAGGTTGATTGGTTGTTAAGGAATGGCAAATACCTCGTGACTGTGCGTCGGGGCTGGCAGCTCCTCCAGCTCCTGCTTGAGCTGCTTGCGGCGCTGCTGCAACTCGCGCCGCTGCCGTTGCTCCACATTGATGCTGCGCGGCGCCGGCGCTGGCTTGCGAGTGGGCTTGGGCGATTGACTACTGGCGGATTCATTCAGATTGAGCGTCAGATTGTTGATGTTCTTATTGGAGCGCTTGGCGGGCGTCAGCTGGCGGCCAATTGGCTGCTGCTGCTGTTGCTCCAGCTGCTCGAGCTGCTGCTTGCGCTCAAAGGACTTGAATAGCTGCTCATAGTCGCGCTGCTGATTGGGCGCCGGCGGCTTGGGCGCCAACGGTGGCTTAACCACAGCCGTTGGCGGCGTTGGTGTCGAGCTGGCCAAGGCAAAGGCGCTGCTAAAAGAGGCATCCTTCTTGGGCGACATGCAATTGGTGCGTATTTTGGTGCGCGGACTCTGCGGCACATACTTCGCCGTGCTGCTGGGCAGATTCTCATGGCTGGCGCTGCCAGCTGCAGCTGATGACGACAATGTCGAGGACGACAAGGTCGATGTCGATGCTGCTGTGGACACATGCAGCTGGCCATTGATCTCGACCCGATTGGGGCCCAGCAGGCGCACATTCTCATAGCCCGATGAGCTGCTGACCAGCGCCAGATTGCTGCTGCTGCCCGCGTGCTGCTGGAACGGCGACTTCTTGTCTCGCGGCAGCGAACCGTTTGTCTTGATCCGATTCTGGACAATTGGCGAGGAGGTGATGCTGCCGGCGCTGGCATTGTGCAGCGTATGGTTGCTATTGTTGTTATTGTTGCTGTTATTGTGCTGCTGCTGCTGCTGTTGCTGTTGCTGCCGATCCGCATACTCTGTGCAAATCTTGAGCATGTCCTCCAGCTCGGCGCCGCTGTTGAGCTCCGTATTGATGCAATTCATGGTAAATATTTGCAGGCTGCCGGCGGTATAGGTGCCCGGCTTGGGATAACGATCATACCGATCATTGTTCACCTTTCCCAACAGCTCTACAGGCTGCGCCAACTGTTGCTGCTGCTGCTGTTGCGGGTGCTGCTGCTGCTGCTGCTGCGGGTGCTGCTGCTGCTTGTAGACAGCCGCATTGCTGGGTATATTGCAGTAGCCGGAATTGTGGCCAATTCCGTTGGCGCCGCTGCTGGTTAATGTTTTGGCATACTGATTGTTCAGCTGCTTTTCGCCGCGATGATTCTCGGCCAGGTTGCGGGCAAAGCTCGCGTATTTCTGGCCCAGCACATCGCGTGCGGGCATATTGACCGTGACCAGATCGGAGCTAAACACCTTGGGACACTGCACCACACCATGCAGATCCATGTTGTGACCACCATCCCGATTGTTGCTGCTGCTCTTGATTGGATTTATGATGCTCTCGTAGAAGCTTTCCAGCTCCAGCGTTTGACTGTCGCTGGGTCGTCCGGATTGCGTGAAATCGATTTGTGGCATGGAGATGCGCTCATTGGAGCCCATCGCTGAGCGCATCATTTGCGCCTCGTCGGGATTATTAAAGCGAAGATAGTTCGAATTGCCAATGGTGATCATGGCACCCTGTGTCAACTTCGCCTCCTCAACCTCTTCGAGTGGGGCGCCGTCGATAAGCAGCCGCGCCTCCGGCTCGGGCACCAAAGTCACCTCGTTGCCCTCGCTTCTGTATATGGTGCAGTGCAGCGCTCGGACTCCGCTGCCGTTAAGCGAGATGCTGCAGCTGGGCGCCGATCCAATTGTTGTGTCACCTGCCAATCAAGCAAATCTTTTTATTTTAATACAAATTACACAAATTCCATAACTGTAATTGTAGCTTGAATCGTGAACGTAACTGCAAACGCAACTCTAAGCTGTAACTGTAAACTATAACTGTTATTAACGTCGTTACTCAACACCCGTCTCTCGTTGTCCCGTTGTACCGCCGCTCTCACTCACACGCACACGCACGCGAGCTCGGCCTGCAAGTGACTCGCCTAGCTAGAGCAGAGCAGCAACAGGCTGAGCAGGCGTACTGAGCTGAGCTGACACGGGCGCTCTTATCTCAGCTCGCGCGGAGCAACAAGCACACACGGCGTCCTCGTCAAGGCATGTTACCGTGGTTCGGGCCAAAGATTACGCACACTGGTAAGCAATCAATTTGTTTGACAGCAAAAAACACCAAATGCAATGCAACTTTTAAAGGTCTGATTACACCGTGAATAAGGATCACATATGGTTTCTAGATATGAATAGAAAGTTCCTGAAATTCCATATAATAAAATAATATCTACAGTTTAGGGTCGAAGTTTGCGACTAACAACATTTTTCATGTGACACATCATATATTTTTGTAGTTTTCAACAACTTTTTTATAGGTTCTCATTTCCGCCCGACAAATTATAAATACACTATTCTCATTTTGAATGCTAACGGAAAGACACGTGAGCTTTTGTATTATATAATATATATATATGTATTCATTCACTGGCCTTGGAAAAACTTTGCCATTGGATTGGCTAACGCTTTGAGCCAATTCCTCGCTATGTTTTCCAATTTTCAATTGTTATATTTGGGGTGTAGTTGTTGGGTATTTCTATTCAACCAAGTGCAATTTTATGACTTTTGACTAAGACTCCAGCTTACAAAACCAAAAGATCTTTGATAAGTTTCTTACATTTTTCGGATACTAAAAAGAAGTATCTGACGTGTTAAGAAAACCATGAAGTTTTGTTTTCCAACGACTTTTTTTTTGTTAAACTAGCTCAATTCGGGTCTTGATAATGGTCAAATATTTTTTAGCTTCCAAGTTTAGAAGCAATATGATTATGTGGCTTACACGCATATATAAAAGGGCACTATCTTTATGATGGTATTTAGCCAAACACTTAAGATCCTAAAAGCTTTCGAGTTTTTTTTTTTAGGATTTCTTTGAGTCACACTGTGCGGATCTTATCGCGGCGAGCAATAGGAGAGCCGAAAACTTGTCTTCTTGTTTTTATTTTGTGCGTCGCTTTCGCGCGTTTCGTTTGCGTATTGAATTGTTTTCTATGTACAGTTTTTTGAGTTTCTGTCTCTTGACTTCTGCTTATCGGCTTACAACTACTGACCTTGCCGGGCAAGGGGGCAGCTGGGCGCGAAGGGGCTTATGTATATATGTAGGCATTCATACTCACCAATATGTATGTAGTGGATGGTGACAGCGGTGCTGAGGCGGCCGCCGCCCAGGCTAACCAAATGGGGATCTGAGGCAGCAACACGCAGCGACGGATCCTTTTTCGTCAATGACATCTGCAAAGCGATCAACGAGAAGGAAGAGAGCGGGCGATAAGTACGAATACGAGTGGATGAGCGAAAACAAGAGGATGATGCGTTGCGTGCATTTCGCAGGGCGTGAAATTGTCAACTGAGACGCCTACAGGCGACACGGCATGACAAATACAAACACATGTATGTATGTACACACAAGCACACACGCGCACCAATACAAATACAAATACACAAACACAAACACGCATGCGCAGCGGGTGCAGCTGCTCTACATTGCTTTTGCTTTGTTTTGTTTTCTTTTTAATGAACAGGACGCACATGCACGCATACATATGCACACTCAACGACGCATTTGGACGTTTTCTGCCAGCGCGCATAAACGGTGTTGGGTGACGCGCGCGCCGGCAGGCACGTGTGTGCGGGCGCGCGCGCGCACGCTTCGGCAGCTGTACGTTGAGACGCTGCTGTTGCGCCAGCGGTGTTGCCAGATCGGCAGAGCTCATAGGAAATCAATTGGAAAGCTAATCAATCAACGACATTGGGCAAATAAATGAAGAATGCCGCGGTTGATAACACAAACATACACACACTCACACATGGCGGAGGCACGGAAAGTAAGCGAGCGACACACACATTTAAGTTTTCACTTTTATTTTTGGGCGCGGAAATGGCAGCGGTGGGCTGTTTACGAAACGTTCCAATAGCCAAATTGGGTCATAAACACCAAAAGTGGCCGAGAGCATGCAGGAGGAGGAGGGAGCGAGAGAGAGAGAGAGAGAGAAAGGGAGCTACAGAGATGAGGCAACAACGGCAAAGCAATAGGAATGCGATTAAGCTACATCGTCATCGTCATCGTCATCCTCATCATCATTACATATGTGTACGTGTATATGTGTACGTGTATATGTGTGTGTGCGTGTGTGTGTGGTATGTGGGCCAGCCGAATGGATAACCAAGAAATGGGAGCACTTATGCTGATAAAGTTTTCATTGGACACGCATCATTTTCAGTTGCCACAATGTGCTGTCATTGTTGTTGCTGTCCCCACATTATCATTATCAGCAGGCGCTGTTTGTTGCTGTTGTTGTGCGTGTTATAATTACATTTACAAGTGCGTATCTGTGTGTGTGTGTGTGTGCGACACACCGGCGCGACATCGGTCAGTCTTCATTCGTGTGTAGAGTATGTGCATTCATTTCGTTAAGCTCTGCACAATATGATTATGTAATAACTTTTTTGTGGAACGCATGTGGACCGTATGGTGTGGGTTGCCACCTGGTTTCGACATGCGTATGAACGCATGTGGATTGCATGCGATCTAAAGTGCTCGCTGAAATGCTCATGTACATTAGATACGATCTTAGCTGATTGGTAACATTTCTCTTTTAGCCCCAAGCGCATTGTCCAGTCAACTAACCAATGCTTGGGTTCCATCGCGTGATTCTTCCATTTTGCACTTTCCATTTGTGTCTAGACTGCCGCCCGGCTTGATAACTGGACAACTGCATCATTCATATATCCCATATCCCCCATATGCATTGCCCATTACAGCAAACATTACGAAATGCATTTTTATCGCCCGCTTTGCAGTTGCCTTCGTTTTGATACCCTTAAAGACGGTATTATAATTTTGTCATCGAATGTGTATACCATAAAAGACATATCAAGCATATGTATTCATCATTAGTAGCAACAGCCAAGTCTATCTAGTTTTAAAGCTTTTGTAACCAAACTTTGCTTCAGTCCGTCTTTGTGTTGCAGGCAATGCATACGTCGAGATTAGCCGGATCGGACAACTACATATATCATAAGGCTGTCATATGCGCATTCGGTCGTAAATTGAATGGGAACGAGAAAGAAAGGCTATCTTTGGCACGCCGAAGATCTAATACCCTTGCAGACCCAACTTTTTCATGATGCTTATAGTGCTTTGCCCGTATCTAAGAAGCACAGGGAAAATAGTTGGTCAAGATATCTTGATAAACAAAATGTATTTTCATACAAAAACTTAATTTTCGACCGATCGTTCCTATGGCAGCTATATGATATAGTGGTCCAATCCAGCTGGTTTTAACAGATGTGCTGCGTGCAACAGAAAGAGGAAGTTCTGCAAAGTTTCATTAAGATAGCTTTAAAACTGAGAGACTAGTTCGCATAGAAACAGACAGACGGACAGACGGACATGGCTCTATCGACTCGGCTGTTGATGCTGATCAAGAAAATATATACTTTATGGGGTCGGAGATGTCTCCTTCTATGCGTTACAAATCTCACGACAAAATTATAATACCCTCTGCAAGGTTATAAAAATAGATCAAAATGATGTATCAAAACTTTTCTGTTTTTGTGTGCAATTTGCTAAGCCGTAAGCTATATGTCGACAAGGGTATTTAATCGTCGGTGTGCCGTTCTTTCACGCTTTGTCTTTGTTTTGCTTTTCTTTTTAAAACGCTGCTGCGCATCGCACGTCATCTTTGGCGTCGTCATCGTCATCAGCCAGCGGGCGGGGCGGGGCGGGGCGGGGCAGCAGCAGTGAGGCAGACATTAAAAGTGCCAAGATGTGTAATAAATAATCAAAGAAATCAACAGCAACAAAAGCCAAATGAGTCAGACCACTGCAATTACAACAACATCAACAACAACAACAACAACAACAACAACAACACAGCACATGTGTGCAGATAGATTCCAACAATTGCTGTGCCTTTTTATAGGCCTCTTTTCACTCTGTTTACAAAGTAAAAGTGAGTATATGCAGGCCGAGAAGCTGAGCAAACCTATTTCTAGCAAAGCGTTAGGACAACCTCCCAAGCTGGCAGCCACGCCCACCCTTTCACAGTTTGAGAGTAACTGCTTGGGGATAACAGTTTCAGAGAAGAGTAGACTGACTTCGGCTGTATTTACAGAGTATTGCGCTGTTATGTGCGCCCGACTACAATGTTTCGTTTTTAAGGGGCATCAAAATGTAGCCTTGTTGAGATAAGATAAAAGCAACGAAAATATTGAGATGCCCCACAAAGGCAACATCCACCCATTGGGCAATGCTTATGAGGTTTCAGATATATATATATATATATATATATATATATATATATATATATACTGTATATATATATGCTATAGCACACAAGAGATCGGCCCATTAACAAAGAAAGTAGGATGTGGATGCCCTTACTCTTATAGTCCTGGAGATGGACACGCTTAATCAAATCAGCTGACATTGATTAAGAATTGCTGTACATTCTTCTTTTTCCCATATTAATAGCTGAGTTAAGTAAATTTCAAAGAACTAATTACAGTTAAGTTACGCCAAGTTGTTTACCAGCTAATTGAGTCACAATTGAAACAGTTGGCAGATTCCGAGAGGGCGGCGGAAGGGGGGGGGGGGGGGGTGTGTTAGCATAATGAGCTCTCGAAATTTCTTGGCGTCAGCTTTGATAAAGAAAAACAAATAAAAACCACTAAACCACACTCATCAAAGTGTCGGAGGAGATGGGAATCCGCGAAGCCAAACAAACAATAATGGGACAAAACCGTCAACAGAAAAAGCGTCAACGCAATTAACGTTTCATTTTTGCCATTGCCGGAGCTTATGCAGAGCAGAGCTACCCCCCCTCCCCCCCTCGCACGGCACAGCCTTTTCAACCCATCAATAGAGAGTTCCAATAAACCGATGGCCACCCATTTCCAGCACATCCCGCAGAGCTGATAAATTGTTTGCTTTCGCTGCAGCCGCAGTTTCCTCTCTTTGCCTCTCACTCACTCGTTCGGCCAATGGCAGGTCGTAAACATTACAGGAAAAATGAATACCCAAACCCATACATTGCCATTTTTAGTTGTCTTTATTTATAGAGCGCAAACACAGTTGTGTATCCAACTTGAAAGTCAAAACACCGTTTCAATAATATGATAGTGCGGGCGACAGAAAGAGAGAGAGAGAGAGAGAGCAAGAGAGAGAACGAAAGAGAGGGGGCCTGGAATGAGCAGGCGACCAGGAAGGCAAACACTAGCACACACACACACACACACACACACACACACACACACACACACACACACACACACACACACACACACACACACACACACACACACACACACACACACACACACGCACATGAAAATACATATGTATGTACATACATATATACAAATGGGACGAGTCTGTGCATTAGCGCACCAACTGTCAATACTCTTATTTTCAATTGGCAAATGCTGTTTTTGGCTGTCAAATCAAATTGACTTTGTTTTTGGTTTTAATTTCCAACACCGCGGGGCGGGGCGGGCTTGAAACGTTCGCTAATTGAATTTGCCTGTTAAGACGAAATATATTTGCCTTGACTTAACCCAACAATGTGGGCAGGAAGCAGCAGCAGCAGCTATATGGAACTCATTGCCATATGATACCAAAGAAGCGGTTTTTCTATTTCGAGTGGTCAATAAATTCAGGCATGGGTTGCAAAAAAGTATGTCAAAGATTTGGAGTGGATCGGCTCGGCGTGGGCTTTCCAAGTGGACCTTACACTCATTCTGAGCTCATTCCAATTAAAGCAAAAGCTGTTTACCAAATTCCACTGTCTCTCTCTCTCTGCCTTCTCCGCTTTCACATTCACTTCAACACCTCCACTTCCAGATAAGGATTATGCTATTGATTTGCGTTGTGCATTTCATTGGAAGCTGTGCCTGGAAATTACAGCAGCTTCTAGGCTAGTGGTAGAATTGGTCACATCTGTCTGTTGTCTCACTCATTTCGCACTCACTGGGCATCGCGTGTGTAGGAGTAAGGGAGAGCGTGTGAGCTTTAGAGCCAATCTGGGGCTTGCCTTGGGCGGGCTGCCAGACAAATTGTGGATGGCATTTTGGGCCAGACATTCAAACTAGTTTTTGTACACATTGGCCACACAAATACTATGTATGCATGTATGTGACACATGGCGGACACAATTACGAAAAGTACACGATGTGTACAATGTTTTTATAATTATGTATGTATGTTAATAAAAATAAACATTTACCTACAC